CAAGTTGGGAAAAACTGACATCTTAACAAGAATGAGTCTTCCCCCCCACCCCAAAGCCCCAGTAGATAGTTGTATGTCACAGCTGCACATTCTTCTAGTTGCTGTGTGTGGGACGCGGCCTCAGCATGGCCGGAGAAGTGGTGAGTCGGTGTGCGCCCAGGATCCAAACCCTGGCCACCAGCAGCAGAGCGCGCGCACTTAACCACTAAGCCACGGGGCCGGCCCAAGAAAGAATCTTTATATCCATGAACATGTAATATTTCTCCATTTATTTAGTTCCTCTTTGATTTCTTTCATCAAATGTTTGTAGTTTTCTTCATATAGATTTTGTACATATTTTATTAGATCCTAGCCTTGCATACCTGGGATAAATTCCACTTGGTTGTGATAGATAACATTTTTATACATAGTTGGACTTGATTTGCTAATATTTTGTTGCAAATTTTTGCACCTATATTTATGAGAGATATTTGTTTGTAGTTTTCTTTTCTTGTAATATTTTTGTGTGGTTTGGTATCAGGGTAATGCTGGCCTCATAGATTGACTTAGGAAGTATTCCCTCTGCTTCTGTCTTGTGGAAGAGACTGTAGAGAGTTAGTATAATTTCTTTCTTAAATGTTTGGTAGAAATTACCAGTCAATCCATCTGACCTGGTGCTTTCTGTTTCGGAATGTTACTAATTATTGATCCAATTTCTTTAGTAGATATAGGCCTATTCATACTATCTAACCCTTCTTGTGCGACTTTTGGCAGATGTGTCTTTCAAGGAATTGGTCCATTTCATCTAGGTTATCAAATTTGTGGTCATAGAGTTGTTCATAGTATTCCTTTATTATCTTTTTAATTTCCATGGAATCTGTAGTAATGTCCCCTTTTTTAGTTCTAATATTAGTAATTTGTGTCTTTTCTCTTTTTTCTTAGTCTAGCTAGAGACAGGGATTTTGCTGATCTTTGAAAACAACCAGTTTTTGGTTTCGTTGACTGTCTCTATTGATTTCCTATTTTCGAGTTCATTGATTTCTGCTTTAATATTTATTATTTCTTTTCTTTTGCTTACTTTGGACTTAATTTGCTCTTTTTTTTTTTCTAGTTTATTAAGGTGGAAATTTAGATTACTAATTTTAGATCTTCCTTCTTTTCTAATATATGCATTCAATGCTATAAATTTCCCTTTAAGTACTGTTTTTGCTGACTCACAAATTTTAAATTATATTTTCATTTAGTTCAAAATATTTTTAAATTTCTCTTGGTATTTCTAATTTGACTCATGTTATTTAGAAGTATGTTGTGTAATCTCCAACTATTTGGGGATTTTCCAGTTATCTTTCTGTTTCTTTCTGTTATTGATTTCTAATGTAATTCCATTGTGGTCTGAAAGCATTGTATGATTTCTATTGTTCTAAATTTGTTAAAGTGTTTTTTTATGGTCCAGAATATGGTCTATTTTTGTGTATTTTCCATGTGACCTTGAAAAGAATGTGTATTCTGCTGTTGTTGGATAAAGTAGCCTATAGATGTCAATTATATCCAGTTGATTGATGGTACTGTTGAGTTTAGCTATGTTCTCACTGATTTTCTGCCCGTTGGATTTGTCTACCTTGGCTTGTCTAAGTAGTTATGATATACAAACATGAGAAATGAAGAAAAAGACAAATCTGTCAGGAAATTGAGTTTTGAGAAAAAGAAAGAAAATCAATTTTTTTAGAAAACTTAGAAATGGAGATTATTTAGTATTTCTTCATTGGTTTATTTGACAAGAATTTTTTTAATTAAAAAAATTTTATGGTTTTGTTTATAGCCTCAAAACTTCTATCTTGTGTAGCCAAGAATGAGTACACAACTAGGATTTACTAAAGGACTAGCATAGAGGACTTTTACAAGTAGCATTTCTACCCTTCAAGGAACAGACATACTCTGTGACATAACCTTGCTAAAATATCTCTTAGGAATAACCCCAGTGCAAGATGACAAAGCTCTTTTTCTAGCCAGCATGCCATGAATGAAAAAGATAAGGGGCAATCTCCACTCTATCTGAGTGAATCACTAAGTCAACCAAAGTAGAAGGGAGGGAAATGGAAAGAGGATCTTCGCCTGAGATAGTGGATATGAGCATCCTTCCATGTCTGAGTGGTAGAACACTGCTCAAAGCAGTAAGAAATGGCTCTCTCAAAAAATGTTAGCACATGTGGAATTTTGGGTAATAAGAGTCTTTAGTGTTCATTTTCTTTTAACTCATATGAATGCCTTATCACTTCAATTAATAAATATTTCATTCCTTTCCAGTATATTCATGAAAGTTAAATCTAAAATGAACACTGCACAGGTCTACTTTTAGGAACATTATAATATTAGACACAAAACCTACCTAGCGATCTTCACAGCATCACAGAGAAAAAGAAGTTGATAAAAATTCAAGTAGCAGAAGGGGGCGGTAAAACTCAATAGAATATTCTGGAAGATTTTTAATATGTTTTTGTATTTTTCCTCCACACAGAGAATTTTCCAACAAATTTCAGAGACTAATAAAAGAAATTTTGTACAACACATACATATATTTGTCTAAAATATACACAAACTCTAAATATATACAAAAGTGAGAGCTATAATTTTGACATAATCAAAACCTTATATTTTATTGTGTCATATATCATGGCACAATAATCATAGTACTTTTCCACATAAAATAGGTTTAGCCATTTTGATTTGGTTTGGGACATTTAATATCCCCCCATGACCAGCATCCCAAAATGTACTATTCATTCTATTTTATTGTCTCAGACTTGTCAAAATTATTTAATAAATCATATCATAATGGTTTTTCCTCAAGCCCATATTTGGACTTCTTTTCTAAACTGTGCCCATCCTTAAAGTGTCATTTTTCTCCTTGAACTCTTCTCTGACTGTGTAGGTACACAGAACTCTCTCCACTCTATGGTGCCATAAAAGTTACAGATTAAACCAAGTAGTTTAACCAAATAGATGTTTTTTTATTGAATTTCCACTATAAGACAATGTTCAATTTCTTTGTTTCAAGTAGTCTAAATGTGATTATTCTCTATGCCTTGCTTCGGCCTCCCTTTTGAATTCAGTCTCTCTGCATACAACAGAACACACTTCTACACATAGTAGGTATACAATTCAGATCTGACGAGGAGGACAATAAGGATGATGACTTCAAAATGAACTCAGGATTACAATGTAAAATTTTAGTACACTATCAGAGTCAGAATATGGATTCTTACATGGCATCTAACCAAGCTCAAATTAGTAGTCCTAAATATCGACGTAAAATTTGAGTAGCTACAACCTACTCATTTAAAATGAAACAGAAAATTGGAAATAGTAAAAGGAATTATTTTTTAAAAAATCTATGCTCTTCGTTGAAATTTCATGTAAGAGTACAATAAATGGGAGTGTCACAAATGGAATGATTAAATATGACTAGAGGAGGAAAAAGGTTTCCTGGATGAGGTGGAATTTTAGTCATTTGTGTCTCTCATAGAATCAGAAAATGTGTACATAAATCAAATGGTAAAAAAAGAAAAAATTCCAAGCGAGCTTCTTTTTTTAAGACTTCTACAAATTAAAGTATCTGGTGTAGTTTTATTTCAGGTTTTATGTTGTCCTTTTCCATTAATGCTAAGAATGTATGCCTTGATTGAACTTTTTATTCTCCACTTTGTTGCTGCTAATTTTTTTTTTTTTTTTTTAGTATTTCGCCCTCACGCTCCCAGTCCCCCCTCCCCCTTGCCCCCGGACCACCACCAAAAGATAGATATTAAACAAAAGCAAAGGTCAAGGAAATTCAAAATTGTCAAAATCACCCTTCCTTTATCTCCATTCCATCCAATTCCTCACCAAACCGTGTTCTAAAATGAGAATAGAAAATTAGCCCTAATAAGCCCAGACAATTGAAAAGTACATGTAATGTTGAACTTTGATCCATTGTCACAACTCACCATCTTGGACAAGTGGGCAGAAATGACAAAAAAAGCAAACTTTAAAAATCTATTTCCTTTTATTTGTATCTCCTGTGAAGGGCTGGTGGCCAAAATGGTGGAAATCACGCAGCAGAGAAAGAAAAGCATTAAAGCAGATGTTTCGGACGCTTAGCATCCCTGCAGATCCTGGGCACTTCGGCTTCCCTAGTTTATCAGAAGAGAGGAAAAGTTATAGTGGTGACTGCTTGAGCTCAAATTAACTATTTACACAATAACTGCTCAGGAGCAGTCTCATGGAGAGGAATTCACCTTTTTTTCCTCTCCAAGAAGCAAGGATGGGGTGGGGTGTGGAAAACAGTATTTCTTACGTTAAACACAGCTATAAAGAGAAGTTACAGATGTGTACACTGACTATAGCTATTATATTTCATTCGGTCAAATAAAAATAAAAATTTTGGAAAGGTATCTATGAATGTATGTGCTGCATATACACTAGGTTAAGGGTCGTCACTAAAATCAAACATGACATCAAGCATGTTTGTACATCACATGGGTAATATATGTCAGCCTTTCCTAGCCTTGCTTGTCCGGGTCTATCCATACTGTACTTCCTCCGTCCCCCAGAGACCTAGGAACCAGACAAGGGGGCAGCGGCGCGAGGGGATTCCCTGCACTCTGGTACCTCCAGCCGCTCCGATTCCGGGAGAAGAAGCACAGGGGCCCCCCTTCTCCCGCAAGCAGATCTGCCTCGGCACAGGCTCTCGAAATCCCGGGGTCAGACTGGGAGCAAGGAAAGGAATCTGGCGCAAACCCGGGCGCGAGGCAGAAGAACTGGGGGAGGGGAAGAGGGAGATGGGAGCGGGGAGGGGGGCAATCTGCTTTGCACCCACCTTGGGGGAGCCGGGGGGAGCCGAGGGCAGCCTCCTGGGTTTCCCATTTTCTCATTTGCGTGCGTAAAAAATCCTGCCCCTATCCGAGTCTTACGCAATTATTCAAGTGGGGGTGGGGGGAAGTTGTTGGGGGTAAGGAAAGGCGGAAAGAAACAGTCATGCCGTCACGTGGGCTCAGTTTTCACGCATAAAAGGAAGGTTCTCTCCGTTAGCTTCCAGTTGTCAAACGACTTGCAGCGAGCGTCAGGAGTCCGCCCAGGAACTCGGCACAGCGCCTCCTCCAGCTCTCCCGCCAGAGCCACACACGGCACCGCCTCCGCCCGCCGGCGTCCCGCCCGCCGCCGAGATGCTCGCCCGCGCCCTGCTGCTCTGCCTCGCCCTGGCGCTCGGCCAGGCAGGTAGGTACCTGGCGCCCTGCACCGGGGACTCCTCGGTTCCGTACACACGGGCCAAGTTTCCGCTCTGACCTCCCGGGTCCTCCCGGTACTCTGCATACTCTCCGAAGAGAGAGGCTACTTAACTTTGCAAAGAGCTTGGACCATTTGAGTCTAGGAGAACTGGATGAATATCCCAGCTTTGCCACCAGCTCTGATCGTCATGGGCCAGTTACTTAACCGGTCTGCTATTTTCTCCTCTGCTAAATAGGAAGAGGGATACTAATTTGCAGGTTGTCGTTATGATAAGACAGGATCTGATCAATGTATGTGAAACGTTTGTGTGTGGTACTTACTCTTCCTGCCCCAAGAAAGCCCAGATTATTTTTTAAGATAAGCAAAATATATTAAAAATAAGCTGTTTTTACTTTGAAAATTTCCCTAATGTTTGATTAATGTACTAGATCGTCCATTTAAATTTTGAAAGTGCTACTTATTTGAGCTTCTTTAAAATGCTAACTTGAACATCTAAAAAGTCACTAAGAAAAAGTTTAGCAATATGATTTTCCTGGTTAAATATTCTGTTACCCTTACTTAGAATAGGAGTTGGTATTTCTACGGAGGTATAATCATTCTGTGAGGCAGATTAAAAAAAAAATTGTTTTCTCATGCCTACCTGTATATTTCTTGAATTTATCATTGTAAAATTGACTCATAGTAGTAAAACAATTAAATATTTAAGTCAAGATTAAGAAACTGAAGAATGATTTATTTACTATCCTCACTTTTATTGTAGCAAATCCTTGCTGTTCCAACCCCTGTCAAAACCGAGGTGTATGTATGAGTGTAGGATTTGACCAGTATAAATGTGACTGTACCCGAACAGGCTTCTATGGTGAAAACTGTTCAACACGTAAGTTTGCCCTTGGGTGCCCTCATTTGGAATGGGGATGTATACAGTTATCATTTTACAGATTTGTGTCTTACAATGGGCCCCGTTAATTTCTCCTTCTTCTTTTTTCTCTTATTGCAGCTGAATTTCTGACAAGAATAAAATTATTTCTGAAACCCACTCCAAATACAGTGCACTACATACTTACCCACTTCAAGGGAATCTGGAACATTGTCAATAACTTTCCCTTCCTGCGAAATGCAGTTATGAAATATGTGTTAGTGTGTAAGTACAAGTCTCTTTCTAAGGTTTTCAGCATCCTCAAATATTGACATTTCAGTCCCATCCAGTTTATAAAGTTGTGTCTCACAGTCAGAACTCAAATATATTTACAATCCTGCACACTTCCAACCTTCACTGTTCTTGCCGATTTGTGAAGGAATTGTGGTTGGGTTGTTTATTGAATGCCCATGGGCCACAGAATTGCACCCATTAAAATAAATAGTTCATTTGGATTTGAGTTGGCTGGAAAATAACTTTTTGTCTAAAGTAAATCGAGATGGCTACACCATAATGTCTTGCATAAGTATATATACTTTATTAAAGATGTGTTATAAATGAATCATCCTTTCCTTTTTTTGAATATGAGTGGCAGACTTCAAAATGTAATTGTTGTAAAATGAATGTCTTTGTTGGAATTAAATTCAATCTCTGATGCCACTTTGCACATTTTATAATAAAAATGAATGTTGATTTGCCTTGCCTGTGGGAACAAATAAAACTTTTTTTCCTTGAAAATTTCAGCCCGATCACATCTGATTGAGAGCCCGCCAACTTATAACGTGCACTATGGCTATAAAAGCTGGGAAGCCTTTTCTAACCTCTCCTATTACACCAGAGCTCTTCCTCCTGTGGCTGACGGCTGCCCAACTCCCATGGGTGTGAAAGGTGAGTGAGAGGAGGCAGTTAGCGATGTATTGCAGTGGGGGGAGTGGATTGCTACCTAGAAAACTGGACCCTAAACTATCATTTATTTGTTAATGAAAGTATAGTTTTTTCCTCTCTTATGGAGATTTTTTTGAGAGTGTGAAGCTACCTAAACTATTCCATGAAAGTGAATGGGCATTTTGGTATAATGTCTTAATATTTTCAAATTCTTTCATTAAAACTAGTTAAAGGAAATAGATAAAATTATTCAATAAGTTGTTCTCCCATATCTTAGAACTTTCCTTTATATTATGATCCTGTTCATAATTGTATTTCTTCTGTAAGTAAAGAATGTGCTGATGAATTGACAGTCATTATCTGCTTCCTTGAATATATAGATGGAGTCTTATCTTAGCTTTCTCATTTTTCAGGGAACAAAGAGCTTCCTGATTCGAAAGAGATTGTGGAAAAATTTCTCCTAAGAAGAAAGTTCATCCCTGACCCCCAGGGCACAAACATGATGTTTGCATTCTTTGCCCAGCACTTCACTCATCAGTTCTTCAAGACAGATCCTAAGCGAGGACCAGCTTTCACCAAAGGCCTAGGTCATGGGGTAAGACAGAGTTAAATCAGAATTATAGCAAATTATAGTGAAGTGCTAACATTAAAAACCGTATTTGCCACACCAAATAATTCACCCTCTTTTTAAAAAATATCCTATCTATGAAAGCCTTAATGGAGTTGCTATTTTAATTAACTGGTTCAGTAAAAATACACACACACACACACATATACAGATATTATTATTATTTGTAATTTGGCTTTTATATTTTTAGTTTAAAATATTAGCACTTCAAAAAGTTGTGTCTTCAAAAACATGTTTGTACCCTGATAATGCTGCTTTAAATATTATAAGGTGAGATTTATGCAGCATTATTATCTCTTGGATTTCAATGACATAGCTTCAATGTATCAAAAAAATGTTATATCAATAATAAATTTTCTGATGCTTTTTAAAAGAAATACCATATAATTATAGTGAAGCATATGATATACTTATAAGTTCCATACAAGATACTAAAACCTTTAAACACAAGAAACATATATAGGTTTGTAGCTTCAGTAGATAAATTAACTTAGTATTTTGTGGCTATGAAAAAAATGTATCTTATTGAAAATTTTTAATTAAAGCAAGCTAAATCATCAAATTATTTAATGAAATATTATATCATAGACACTTTATATAAGAACAACTTCAACAGGAACAAATTGAAATTTTTCCATAATCTTCTAGGTGGATTTAAATCATATTTATGGTGAAACTTTGGATAGACAGCATAAACTGCGCCTTTTCAAGGATGGAAAAATGAAATATCAGGTTTGTTCCATTCGAATATTAAGAATTAGTTATGACTCACCACTCACCTATATTTTAAAATCCCTAATGATTCAAATTCATTTCTTAACTCCTTTTTATTAATGTTTATTTATTACTGTTATTTTATAGATAATTAATGGAGAGGTGTATCCGCCCACAGTCAAAGATACTCAGGTGGAGATGATCTACCCTCCTCATGTCCCTGAACACCTGCGGTTTGCTGTGGGGCAGGAAGTCTTTGGTCTGGTGCCTGGCCTGATGATGTATGCCACGATTTGGCTTCGGGAACATAACAGAGTATGCGATGTGCTTAAACAGGAGCATCCAGAGTGGGATGATGAGCGGTTGTTCCAGACGAGCAGGCTCATACTGATAGGTAAGCAACATGAGAAAATAATTTAGATAAAACCCTCTTCCCCAGAGAAAACTAACGTGTCACCCTTTGCTATGTTTTAAGTAATTCCGAGGAAATGTAAAACCACATGCTGCATATTAATTCAATCCTTGAGCATGATTGGTAATCTAACCACCTTTTGTTTTGATGGTAACAAGGAAAAAATAGAAGTGAAGGAATAGCAGGTTAACAAAATTGCATTTCAGTTACTTGAAAGTTTGTGATCAGAAAGAATTAATGTTCTAAATTCTTTTGTGCAAACAGGAGAAACTATTAAGATTGTGATTGAAGACTATGTACAGCACTTGAGTGGCTACCATTTCAAACTGAAGTTTGACCCGGAGCTGCTTTTCAACCAACAATTCCAGTACCAGAACCGCATTGCTGCTGAGTTTAACACACTCTATCACTGGCATCCTCTTCTGCCTGACACCTTTCAAATTGATGACCAGGAGTACAACTTTCAACAGTTTCTCTACAACAACTCCCTCTTACTAGAACATGGACTTACCCAGTTTGTGGAATCATTCAGCAGGCAAATTGCTGGCAGGGTGAGCATTATTATTGAAAAACAAAACAAAGAACTAGTCGGTAACTAGAATTTCTGTCACAGAAATGATTTTTCTTAAACTTACTAAAAGAGTAATTAATTATTTTGCCAGTAAGGTTCTTAAAATAAGAAGCCTAACATTTTTTGAAAAGTCTAAACTTTTAGTCTACAGTTATCAAATAGTAACATGTAGTCACACCTTAAAAATAGGTAGTGAAATAGAATATTTCAAACTTGAATACTTGAGGTCTCAGCTGGGAGTGTTAGTCTTACCCCCTTTGTTCCCAAGAAATGCTTTTAAGATAGAAACCACAAATATGCCTACAAATCTTGTTCTACAATTTAATTCATTTTCCACAGGTTGCTGGTGGTAGGAATGTTCCAGCTGCAGCACAAAAAATAGCAAAGGCCTCAATCGACCACAGCAGAGAGATGAAATACCAGTCTCTTAATGAGTACCGCAAACGCTTTCGGCTGACGCCCTATAAATCATTTGAAGAACTTACAGGTGAGAAACAGTTTCTAAACTTCTTGAAAGAATCAAAGATCAAATGGAAACAACAGAGAAGTGGAAAGCAAATTGAGCAAAGAGTGAAAACAATTTTTTTATTTTGTCAAGTTTTACATTAGTTTTATCTCTGTCTTTGCCACCTTCACAGGAGAGAAAGAAATGGCTGCGGAGTTGGAAGCACTCTACGGTGACATCGATGCCATGGAGCTGTATCCTGCTCTTCTGGTAGAAAAGCCTCGTCCAGATGCCATCTTTGGGGAGACCATGGTAGAACTGGGAGCACCATTTTCCTTGAAAGGACTCATGGGTAATCCTATATGTTCCCCTGACTACTGGAAGCCTAGCACTTTTGGTGGGGAAGTAGGTTTTAAGATCATCAACACTGCCTCAATTCAGTCTCTCATCTGCAATAACGTGAAAGGCTGTCCTTTCACTGCGTTCAGTGTTCAAGATCCGCAGCTCACCAAGACAGCCACCATTAACGCAAGCTCTTCCCACTCTGGACTGGAGGATGTGAATCCCACAGTATTACTAAAAGAACGTTCAACCGAACTCTAGAAACCTAGTGATCGTATTTATTTATTTATATGAACTGTTTCTTTTAACTTATTTAATATTTATATTAAACTCCTTATGTTACTTAACATCTTCTGTTAAGGAGAAAGGAGTCATACTTGTGAAGATTTTTGTGTCTCTTTTAGAGATGTCATTTCTTCAAGTTAAGAGGAAAACGGTTTTCATTCTTTTTTATAAACCAATGGGAAATGAGTTTGATATCTTTTTACTTGAATTTCAAGTTACGTTGTTATAATAAGAACAAAAGCAAAGATGTTGGAACATTGAAATGCTGTTACGAGATGGCAAAATGCTGCAAGTTTCTTTCGACATTATCCATACTTCTAAATGTATCTTCCATGATGCATTAGAAGCAACTACCTGCACGCTATTCCTTTTATTTTCTTCTTTTAGCCATTTTGCTAAGAGAAACTCTCCTGATCAGTTTACTTCTTCTATTTTGTTTTCTTGGTTTTAAGATCTGAGTTTGTCTTTCTTTGGACTCTGTCTATATTTTCTTATCTGAACTTTTGCAAATTTTCAGGAAAACCTCAGCTCAGGACTACTATTTAACTCCTCTTAAGAGGAATAAAAGGAAAAAGAAAAGCCCATAAAAAGGCCTTTACAAAAAGATATACACTCATTTTAAGTGAAAAGCAGAGAAATTTATTTGTAATTAATTTTAACTGTGTGTAACAGAAGAAGTCTACAAAGAGGCTAATGCCTTGGAAAGAACTGTAGGGGGTTCTTGACGGGAAGAAAGTTATCTTCCTGTTCTAATGAATGTTCTTTCTCATTTAAAAACAAGACCAAACAACTCCTGAATAGTCCCCAGGAAGATAATGCTTCTTCTTTTCCACATCTCATTATCAACTGACATTTTCTGGTACTGTATATTACTTAATTTAATTTATTGAGTATTATTATTTATGTTTCTTTAGGACATTATTGTTATAAACTGGTTGCAGCTTGCAATCATTGATTTTTTTTTCATTATGTCAGAATCAGTATATCTTCTTTGGAATTACCTCTCTGAATTATTATGTAAACTACAAGAAAAATGATTAGATTAAGATTTGTAAAGAAATTTTCAGGAACCCAACTCTGGTATATTGAGACATATACAAGGTTGGAATTTATGTCTTCATGGTTTGCCTATCCACCAGCCCACAGAGAACATTGCCTCTCCTTAACCCAGATGTCCCATAGGACTGATATTTTATACATTTGTGAAAGATCTGTGGATGCTTCATTAATTCATTCAACCATAACTTACTGAAGAGACATTCTGTGCAAAGCACTGTGGGTTTTAATATTTTTAAATCAAGCACTGATTACGGATAACATCAATATTCTTGTAAATAATTGAAAAAGCATGTCTCTTAGGCAGAGGGAGAAAATGAAATTTTATTAAAGAGAAATAACTCAGGGGAATTTTTCTTTAGGATTTTATGTTTAAAAAGTTTATGGTTAAGAAAGAAATAGTCAATATTAGAAGGACTTGTATAAAAACTTGTTAACTTCACTGATTTTAAAAAGACAAAACTGATTTTTTATTAACATCAACCTGCTGACTAAACCTAGGAATTTGAAATGTATATGTGAATGTTTTGGTGCCTCAGATAAATGTATATTTAAATTAACTTATGTAAAATATAAATGTTGAAACAAACGTCTGTTTATTTTTATACTATTTAAGAATCGAAAAATCTCTTCTAAAATAAATTTTGACTGTTTCAATATATCTTCGTCGTATAACATGATTTCTCTAATGCGTTATACTTAAAATGAACCATTGTCTTGTATCCTCGTATCTATTCCAAACTAGACTGGCCTGTAATGAAATGGTTCTGCCCTCAGTCTTACAGAGGCTTTCCAGGGTCACTATCTGTAATCTCTGATTCACTGCAACACTGTATTGGAACTGCTATAGGAGTTGTATTGCTTTCTGCTATAGGAGATAGCAACAAACTTGTTTCATTGCCTAATCTAGAAGAAGGAAAAAAACCAGGTACACAAAAGGCAAAGAATAAGACAAGAGTTACTAAGGAGGTACAAAATTAAAAAGGAAGATCAAAGAGGGAGAGATTATACTCTGTTGGGGAAATCATTGATACCTGGCTCTTTGGCTTCTGTTGTACCCCTACTCTTGACATCTTGGTAATTTCGGTATCCACATGGACCACCTATTTAACATCCTGCCTGGCCTCTCTCTTCCTTGGCCTTCTCAACTCCAGTGATGGCTTCTTCTACCATATTGCCCATGATCATACACACCCGGATCTCATCGTCATTAATTACCATTTCCAAAATCTTGATATCAAGCATCCTCTGTCATCAACACTTCCAGCTCACTTGTTTTAGTACCCACACTCTAACGTCTCACTCTCTCGTTTCACTGAGCCTACTGATGTATGGACCTTATCACTTCACAATTTATCTCATTTCCTTCCTTATACATGTAGTTCAGATTCCATTGCCCATCATTATAATCATTCTCTCACTCCCTGCCTACTCCCCTTCCATTGTACTTAACTGGCACAATTTAATTAATTTCAGCCATCCTCCTAATCTGTTTATTTGACTTCTCAGTAGCATTCAACACAAATGTCTATAGCTTCTTCACTGACAGATTTTTTTTCTCGGCTTCACGGTTTGATACACTCCTGGACTTTCTCCACCTTCACAGAGTGCTACTACTCAGATTTCTTTTTTTTAAAGCTCTTCATCCTCTACTGTATCTATAAATTGAAGTGTCTTGATCCCCCTCTCTTCTTTATCTGCACTCCTCCAGATTAATCCCAGCCAAACTCATAAATTGAAACACTATTCACTCCCAAATTTATGTCTCCAGAACCAACTTCTAAATGTCAATTGACAATTTCTCCACTCAAATACATAAATTTAATGGCTTATTTTACATTTTTGCCCTTTCAGCACCATATACCCGAAATAATAATCATCCAAAGTTAAGGACACCACCATCTCCTGGTTCTCAAGCAAAAAACCCTTTTTCCTTTATGCCCATAGCTAATCCAGCAGAAATCCTATTGACTATATCCCACAAATAAATCCTAAATCTGTCACCTTTTCTCCAACTCCACTGTTATCAATTTAGTTGATGCAATAACCTCTTAATTGGTTTTTCCTCTTCTATTCTTGCCTCACTCCAAACCATTCTCCTTATAGCAAAGAGAGTAGTCATTTTCAAACATAAATCAGATCATGCCCCTTCCCTGTTTGAAATCTTCCAGTGGCTTCCCATGACACAATGGATAAATCTAAACTCCTTATCCTATTCTATCTCAGTGATCTGTCCCCTGGCCATCTCTCTGATTTCATCTACTACAATTCCCCACCTTGTTCACAGTGGTCCAGCCACATTGGCTCTCCTCTGGTTTGCTCACTAGCACAGGTTCTCAAGCTGCTGCCTCTGTCTAGAATGTTCCTTCTGCAGATTTTCACATGGCTGGATCCTTCTCAACATTCAAATCTTAGCTCAAATTTCCCCTCTTAGAAAGGCCTTCTCCAACCACCTAAACTACAGCAATTGCTAAAGCTGTTTCATTTGCTTTATGGTATTTATTTCTATCTGATGTTATCTTGATTTTTATGTTTATTATTTGTGTCCCCTTGCTAGAATTTAATGTCTGTGAAAGCAAGGACCTTGTTAGTATTGTTCACTGCTCTCAGAACTGTGTCTGACACTTAGAAGGCATTAAAAATATTCGATAAAATAAATAAGAATAGGTTTCATGAGAGAAGTAGAATATGTGGTAATTCTTGAAGAAAGAGTAAGATCTTAGAAAGCAGGGGTCGGCCCCGTGGCTTAGCGGGTAAGTGCCAGTGCTCTGCTACTGGCGGCCTGGGGTTCGGATCCCAGGTGCACGCTGATGCACCGCTTCTCCGGCCATGCTGAGGCCACGTCCCACATACAGCAACTAGAAGGATGTGCAACTATGACACACAACTATCTGCTGGGACTTTGGGGGAAAAAAATGGAGGAGGATTGGCCATAGATGTTAGCTCAGAGCCCGCCTTCCTCAGCAAAAAAAAAAGAGGAGGATTAGCATGGATGTTAGCTCAGGGCTGATCTTCCTACAAAAAAATTAAAAAAAAAAAAAAAGCAGGGATATCTTAGATAGCATGAAGGAACCTTGTGCTGATTGAATATTTTTATATCTTGATCGAGTTGGTAATTACACAAAGCTACATATGTCCCATAATTGGATAGACCTATACACACACACACACACACACAAATGCTTGTATAAATAGTGAAATCTGAGTAAGCTCTGTGGATTGTACCAAGATCAATTTCCTGGTTTTGATATTATACTATGATTTTACAAGATGTCAACATTGCAGAAGGTGGTGTGACATTTGCATGGTATCTCCCTGTACCTTTCTTTGCAGCTTCCTGTGAATTTATAGTTACTTCAAAATTAAAAAATTTCACAAAAAGAGAGATTCAGTGCCATTCTTGGTGGAGAGAATAGGTTTATAGGCTATTTTTGTATTATGTGATTTGCTCAACTCTCATCCAACTTGCCACAATAGATTGTCCCAGAGTGAATACCCAACCTAAGCTGGGAAAATAAAATTCTCTCTCCAATGAATTTGGACTTAGGTAGGAGAATCTAGTTCAATCTGACAATTACACAGTTGAACAATGGTGTCAGTACAATCTAATAGGTAAACCAAAAAAGTCTTTTCAATAAACGGTATGAGAACAGTTGAACATCCACATAAAAAGAAGGAACCTCAGTTATACTCACAACACACACAAATTAATTCAAGATGGTTCATAGATCTACAGATAAAAGCTAAAACTATAAAGCTTCTAGAAAATAATATAGGATAATATCTTCATGAACCTGAAGTAGGCAAAGAATTTAAGATCCAGAAAGTACTAACCAAAAAAAAAAAGATTAATAAAGTGGACTTCATAAAATTAGAAAAGTTGCTCATCAAAATACTATATTGGGAAAATGAATAGATGAGACACAGACTCAGAAAATAGTTACAATACACACATCTAACAAAGGATTCGAATATAGACTATATAAATAACTCCTCCAACTCAATAGTAGGATGACAAACAACTTAATAAAAATAAGCAAAAGACTTAAGCAGGAACTTACAAAGGGAGATATATGAATGTCCAATAAGCACATGGAAATGTGTTCAACATCATTAGTCATCAGGGAAATGCAAATTAAAACCACAGTGAGATACTGCTACACACCTATAAGAATCATTAAAATTTAAAAGAGTAACGGTGACTGTTAATTTTATATGTCAACTTGGTTAAGCTGTGGTGCCATTTGTCAGGTCTAACACCAGTCTAGATGTTGCCGTGACAGAATTTTTAGCAGTAATTAACATTTAAATCAATAAACTTTGAGTAAAGCATATCATTCCCCATAATACGATGAGTCTCATTCAATCAGTTGAAGGCCGTAAGAAGCAAAGACTGGGGTTCCCTGAAAGAGAAGGAATTCTCCTTAAGACTGCAACGTAGACACTCTGCCTGAGTTTCCAGCCTCT